ATAAAAAAAAAAAAGATGAAAAAATAAAAATAGAAATTGCCAAATATTGCATCCTGTTCTATCTGAGAGGAGTTTACACTTGTATGACTGTATTCCTGTATATCCATCACTAGTTAAAAGACAAGATTCAGCGAATGCTTATTCTACCTGTAAAACAATGACAGCGCAATTGTCGCTGTACGATCCGAAGCCTCATTTAGAGCTTTTAAACAGGCTTTTGAAAAACTTTGATCATTTGCTGCTGTAATATTATAGATTTTTTAGAATAAAAAGCTATCAGATCTGCATAATAAAAAAATAACAGAAATACAATTATAGAGCATTCAGTATTGTTAGAAAGCCCACACTGTTTCTGAATAAATACATTATTGTATGAGTTAAGTTCAACATCAACATAGAGTCCTTTATTGTTATATTTCCAAACTAACATTTTCAAACTGCCTAGTTACTTACTAGTTCATATTTTCTTCTTCATTTAGGTAAATTGTGTTTTTGATCACATTGTTTAATGAAGTTCTCCCTACAGGTCCCTGCATGTCCTCATCAACAAACTACAGACTAGTAACTCCTCTGTCATCTGTATAATAGAGGTATTCTTTAAAAGGTACAATGCTAACCACAGACAGACAACTCTGAAATCAAATTTATCAGTTAAATTCTACCCCATTCAACAGTATCCGATCTTTAACTGTTGGCTAGACAGTATTAAAAGCGGGTAATAAAAGTCTGGCCTTTTAAACAGTGATCTCTGGTTTTTATTAGGAGCTAACATTCTGTGGGTTCCTCCACTTCTCTTAAATCCAATATAACTACCATAAAAAACAGCATTAATATAAACATCATGGAGGTCTGCATAATAAAACAGACACCAACATTTTATCCTGTTCAGAGATTCTGCTCTACATGTAGAAACACATAAAGCTCATAATAAAGTAATGTGAGGAATCTGACCATTATAATGCTAAAAAAGATGTCAAAGTAAGAGTGAATTTTATCGTAAAGTTTCATGAATCCTAATCTGTTCAATGCCCTTCCAGGTAGGATGTCACATTAATGTTTGGATTTTTTATTCTATTCAATTCTCAGCCAGCTGGGAATTTATATGATACTTTAAGATGTTTATTGCCCTCCCCGGTAGGGGTGGTGAATATCTTATTTAATCAGGTATTATTTCAGCTGATATATTGTTTATAAACACACGCTCTACTAGCTGTGTGTTAGAACAATAAATGAAAGAGTGATTCAAGCACTAATCTTGGTCAAACAGTTAATTCTGTACATACATGGAATAAATTCACCACAACTTTTGTTCAAGATATAAGAGTTTATTAACAAAAAAATAATTCAGCTCTAAGTTAAACATACTGTAAGAGGAAACAGATTCTTAAGTAAATGATGATAAGCAGTGGTTCCAGAATATTCCTCACCTTGAGAGAGAGACAAAAAGACCCTGCAGGAACCAGGAAGGAGAACAACTTTTGTAGAAGCAGTCCATCACTGTGATGGAAACTTTACAGGAAGGTGATTTGAAGGAAACAGAAACAAGAAATCAGCAGCGTTCCTTTAATATCTCTAAGGTAGTTGAGACAAGATATCAGGAAGGAAGCAGTTTCACAGTCAATCAGTCTCCAATTTCACTGGACTTTATCAATTAAATGTGCACCACAAGATCACACAGATGTTTGGCCTTTTCAGATGTGCAGAAAAAGAGGTTTTTATGTTTTAAATTGGCAACTGAAATGTCATCCAGAGGTTCCATACATAATAACTGCCTCTAAGGGTAATCAAACTCTAATCCTATTCAAAAGAGCTTTTACAATTTATTAATTTAACTTTTCCCATAAATTTACTCATGTAGCATTTCTTTTTGTTTTAACTACAAAGGCTCGTGTCTTCCATTGTAGGTGAACCTCATAGACCTTTATTCCTGCTAATTTTAACCTCACATTTGTCACAGTCTTTTTTCTGCTTCATGCATTGGTCAGAAACGTTTTGTCAGAATAGCAGCTTGGTCTGATCCAGATCTGCTCTTCAAATCTTTTTTTTCAGAAATGTAAAACTCTCAAATAATGTTATTATCTGTATGGTTGCAAAACCATATCCCTTAAAATAGTTTATACAGAAAGGCCAGCTTTTGATGTAAACCTTACTAAATACCTGACTTCCAGAGATCATCTATGAATCTGCTACAGGGCTGATACAATATGTAAATCCCTATATTGTCCCAAAATGGGGAAATTCACCTCTGCATTTGACCCATCCCCTTGGGGAGCAGTGGGCTGCCACTGTGCGGCGCCCGGGGAGCAGTGTGGGGCTAAGGGTCTTTGCTCAGGAACCCAGAATGCAGGCTGTGGGGATCTACCTGTGTACTTGCAACCTTCTCAGAGCACAAGCGCCCTGCTCTAACCACTAGGGCAACACTAAAATAAGGAAAGCATTCCTGTAAAAAATAAAAAATAAAATTTAAAAACCCCTAAAAGTTTCAGATAGATAAATATAACCTAATTTTCAGCGTTGGCTAAAATTATACATGGTTAACAAGATACCCACCAGCTCTTTTGTTTTCTCATATTATGAAACATTATTCTTAAAAATGTTTAAATGATATGAATAGATTTTTTGTTTTTCTTTTTTCCTCAATTGTTTTTTTTATATTATAGTGTAACCTATTATTGATCACAGGTGGTCTTCCTCTAATACCTTGAGTATTTGAAAAGCTCGATGGAGAATGCAGTCTGTTCTTCTGCCAACCTGCGGATCCATTCCAGTCCGGCAGGGGGCGGTAAGTGGACCAATCAGTGGCTTTGTCTCAGTGTGACACACAGCGGAAGTAAAATTAAGGGCACAACTGCAGCTAGCGTGGAGTCAGCTACTAGACGGTTGTGTTTTTGTGTTGTAGCTGAATATTTAAGTAACAATGTCTTCAGTTCAGCCTCTCAGAGAGTTTATCAGAGAGCGCTTAACTGCTGCTGCTGAAGAAATCTTCACAGAGGTTGAAAAAACCATCGTCCGCTATGAGGAAGACATCAGACTGATGGAAATCTACAAAAAAAATCAAACCACCCCAAATCTAATCGGTAAGAATTTCCAGTAATTTTCTGATGAATTGAGATCTCCGCTCCGATAACATCATTCAGTCGCAGAGGATCCATCCAGGCTGGTGTTTTGCAAAAAAGTGCATTCCTGCCGGGAGGTGCACGCCCTGTCTCGAGCACGCGCAGCACGTCCGCATATTGATGTAGAGGCTAAATTTGACAGGCGAAGCGATTTTCAAACATATTCCTTAGATAGATTCCCTTGTTATTCGCATTAGTCCTGAAAATATGTTTTTTTCTGGCAGATTAATTAAATAAATTCTGATGACATGCCAAGCTGGTTACCCCATTAGAATGTTTCTCTCTTCAGAAGCAAGATCAAATCCAACTGACAGATTTCACCAGCTAGACTTTGACTTTGTTTCACTTTGAAGTAATGGTGAAAATTATGCATATTTTGTTCTCCTGTGCTATCAGACCTGATTGTTTTTAGATGTCCAGATTGTTTGCCTGACGAGAATCTAGTTGGTTTAAACATCTAGGCTAGATTTGCTGCTTTCTGAGAAACCTGAACACTCCAGATGTTCAGATCTGTGATGATTTCCAGACTGCGAGCCTCATTTCTTCAATATCTACTAATATAAAAAAATACACCTTATTGTCTACAAATCTTGCCCTTCTTATGCTTTTTGAAGGCAAATCTCTGTTTTGCATGGCCTGACATTGTTTCACAAGCCTAAAAAAGTAATGTAGCAGTTAAATAACGGAGTCAGCTTTAATTCTTTTTTAATATACAAAAACTATTTTCTGAGAATTTGTTTAAAGTACACAATATTCTATTATTTAAAAAAATAATAAAAGTGATTTACAGCACTTTTCTAAAAAGTCCACACGAAGTCAAAACGAACACGAAACGCTAATATTTTCCAGAACGTTTGTCGTAAAGACGGAGACGTAAAATAAATGCATGAAAACGCTGCAAAATGTATGCCAGGCCTGTAAGTGGCGCTGTGGTGCCAAAGCAAAAATAGGCGACGAAATG